AGGCATTGCTTTAGTGTCTTTTAGCTTCTATTTCTGCTCTGAGGAATTCCAATGCCATTTTGATCCCTGAAACTTTTGATGTAACTTGATACTTTGTATGTAATGATAATTTTTTTGTTTTCATTCTTGATATTTTCATTTAAAAGACTTCTTCTACCTCTTATGATCTAAAATTTCTCAGTGTAGCTCCTTTTTAACTCACCATATTGAGCCCTGGGGTGGGACATTTCAATATGAAGACCCATGCTTTCAGTTCTGAAGCTTTTTTGTGTTTTCTCTTTGTTAATTTCTTCCTGGTATTTTCTTATTCTCTCTTTCCAGAACACTATGTCAGATATTGGACTTCCTTGATTGATGCTTTAATTTTCTTATTGTTTCTCTTTTATTATCCATCTTTTTGATCAACCTTCTGGGAGATTTCCTTAACTTTACTTTCCAACCTTATAAGTGAAATTTTTATGTTATATTTTTAATTTCTAAGAACTTTCTTTATCTAATACATTTTTTTCTTATAACATATTGTTCTATTAATGAACAAGAATACAATATCTTTTTTTTGTTTTTTTTTGCTGAGGAATATTTGCCCTGTGCTAACATCCATGCCAATCTTCCTCTGTTTTTTAGTATATGGGCCACCAGCACAGCATCACCATTAACAGAGTGGTGTAGGTCCATGCCTGGGAACCAAACCCAGGCTGCTGGTGTGGAGCACACTGAACTTAACCACTAGGCCACTAGGGCTGGCCCCCAATATCTTCTTATCTGAGAATATTATTTATATTTCCTTTGAATTTTTTTTTTCTGTTTGCCTTGTCTCTTGGGTTTCTTTATCATTTGTTTTTATAGCTTTTACATCAAAGATATTCCTTGTGATCCTTTACTGTCCTCATATTTAAGAACGAGGTGTTAATCATGTCATTGTAAGCTTTTTGAGGGTATGAAAGCTCTCTGATTTGTTTCATTGTAGGCAAGCTTTTAAGAATTATTTTATTTTAATTTAAATTTTTAAAATTGTGACAAAATACATATAATATAAAATTTTCCATCTTAGCCATTTGTTAGTGTACAGCTCAGTAGTGTCAAGTACATTCACATTGTTGTGCAACAAACCTCCAGAACTCTTTTCCTCTTGCAAAACTGAACTCAATATCCATTAAACAACAACTCTCCATTTCCCCTTCCCCAAGCCCCTGGCAACCACTCTTCTGCTTTCTGTCTTTATGAATTTGACTACTTTGAGTAGAGTTTGAGGAGAATTTGACTCTTGTAAGTAGAGTCATACAGTATTTGTCTTTTTGTGATGAGATTAATTTCCTTAGCATGATGTCCTCAAGGTTCATCCATATTGCAGCACAAGTCAGAATTTACTTCCTTTTTAAGGCTGAATCATATTCCATTGCATGTATTTACCACATCTTGTTTATCCAGTCATCTGTCAATGGACGCTAGGATTGCTTTCTCCTTTTGGCTATTGTGTGAATAATGCTGCTATGAACATGGGTGTACAAATATCTCTTCAAGACTTTTCTTTCAATTCTTTTGGGTATATATCTGGAAGTGGAATTGCTGGGTCATATGGTAATTCTGTTTTTAATTTTTTGTGTGTGTGTGAGGAAGATCAGCCCTGTGCTAACATCTGCCAATCCTCCTCTTTTTTTGCAGAGGAAGACTGGCCCTGGGCTAACATCTGTGTGCATCTTCCTCCACTTTATATGGGACGCCGCCACAGCATGGCTTGACAAGCGGTGCATTGGTGCACGCCCAGGATCCGAACCGGCGAACCCTGGGCTGCTGCAGCGGAGCACGTGCACTTAACCACTTGCTCCACCGGGCTGGCCCCTGTTTTTAATTTTTTGAAGAACCACCATACTGTTTTCCATAGTGTTTGCACCATTTTACATTCCCATCAACAGTCCACAGGGGTTCCAATTTTTCTACATCCTTGTCAACACTTGGTATTTTCTGTTTTTTAAATAATAGCCATCCTAATGGGTGTGGGCAAGCTGTTTTATGTATATAGTTTTGGACTCTTGTTTTTCTACAGAATATCATCTTGAACATTTTTCCACGACAATAGACATTTTTCTAAATGTGATTTCTAGTGGCTGTATTATTGAATAGATTCCATAATGCAGTATTTTAATTTGTTTCCAGTAATTTTTCAGGGATAAATAATGTTGTGCAGAATATTCTTATAAAGAAATCTTTATGTACATCTTTGGTATTTTCCTTAGTTGATAAGGTCCTGGAGGCTGAATTCCTGGATCAGAGGGTATATATTTTTAATACAAATTGCCAGATTGCTTTCCTGAAAGGTTGCATCAGTTTCTATTCCTACTAGCAGCGTGAGAGTATCATCTACACTGAATAGTATCAGACAAAATTATTTCAGTGTATAATCATAAATACAAGAATATACATACAGCAAAAATATACATCAATTGATAAACATGGGTAACTCTGAGAATAGGACTGGTTTGGCTGTGAGTGCTCAAAAAGAGTTAGGTTTACTTTTATTGTTTGTATTTTTCAGTAAGAATGTACATATGTAATATTTGTATAAAAATAAATATTTTAATTTCCTAATTTAAAATGCAAATAGGTGAAATGATAAACTTATTTTAATATGTATGCTTTTTACTTTTATTAAAGTTAAATCTTTTTTTCAAATTTATTATATTTCTCCTTTTGTGAAATATCCACTCATTTCAGTTGCCTATTTTTCTTGAGTTGTTAGAACTTTTTCTGTATGAACTCTCTTTACCATACATGTTAATAATATTTCCCCCTTTTTCTTGTTTACTTCTAAAGTTTTGTTTATTTTCTATTTCCGGAAGTTTAAAAAGTTTTATGTAGGTAGTTACATTTATCCATCTTTTACTTAACGATTTATTTCTTGGCTTTTATACAGACAATCCCCGACTTACAATGGTTGGACTTAAAGATTTTTTGACTTTATAATGCTATGAAAGCAATGTACATTCAGTAGAAACAGTACTTTTTTGATTTTTTTTTTTTTTTTGGTGAGGAAGATTGGCCCTGAGCTAACATCTGTTGCCAATCTTCCTCTATTTTTTCTACGTGGGACACTGTCACAGCATGGCTCGATGACTGGTGTGAAGGGCCATGCCTGGGATCTGAACCAGCGAACCCCGGGCCCCCGAAGCAGAGTGTGCGAACATAACCAGTATGCCACTGGGCCAGCCCCACGAATTCTGAATTTTGATCTTTTCCCAGGCTAGCAATATGCTGCAGGATACTCTCTCCTCATGCTGGGCAGTGGCAGGGGAGCCACAGCTCCCAGTCAGCCACGCGATCACAAGGGTAAACCTACAACCATCCTGCACCCCCACAACCATACTGCTTTTCACTTTCAGTACAGTATTCAATAAATTACATGAGATATTCAACTCTTTATTGTAAAATAGGCTTTGTGTTGGATGATTTTGCCCAACCGTAGGCTAATGTAAGTGTTCTGAGCACTTTTAAGGTAGGTGAGGCTAAGCTGTGATGTTCAGTAGGTTAGTGTATTAAATGCATTTTCAACTTATATTTTCAGCTTACCATGGGTTATCTTACCCATCCTAAGTTGAGGAAGATCTGTAACTCAGAAAGCCGTTCTCCCTTCTGAGGTCGGATATTCATCTGTATATTTTTTAGTTTGTTTTATGTGCATCTTTGTGTGTTTAACACTTCACCCTTGAATTCAATTGTAATTTATTTTAGTGTATATTTTGGTCAGGAACGTAATCCAAACAGTTAACTAATTGTACCAACACCATTTTAAAAGCAAACATTCCTTTCTTGGTTGATTTGAAATGCAACCTTTATCAAATAAATTATTTCTGCATTGGGTCTGATTCCAGGCTTTTTACTCAGCTTCTGACGGTGTTACTAAGAAGAGTGAGAAGTCATCCAAGAAATGATTTGCCCTGGATGGAATATTACTGCTCAGACAACGAACCATCTGATTAAAGGGGGTTTATTGAAACAACCAATTTGTAAAACGTAAGAGAATGATTTTGTTGGAGTCCTTAGTACTTAATTTGGGTTTGTGATGACTAAACTTTTTAATCCTGTTTCTGAGCATTGCTAACAGGATATGCAGTCATCACCCAGTTGCAAGGCACGGTTCCAAGGGACATTCTAAAGAAGCACTCCCTTCCCACAAGTCGCCACACATTTCCCTCTGGGCCTAGCTAATGTAACACGCCATCCGGGGATCAGTGGGTGTATGCAGCAGTGGTAGGAGAGAAAGGAGGCTTGGTGAACAAGTATGTCCACATTGCCTTGGTTTTGCTGTGCCTGTCTGGGGTGGAAACTACAAAGAGCTCTGACAACCATTATTATTTTTTTTTGTGAGGAAGATCAGCCCTGAGCTAACATTCATGCCAATCCTCCAACCCTCCTCTTTTCTGCTGAGGAAGACTGGCCCTAGGGCTAACATCTGCGCCCATCTTCCTCCACTTATATGGGGCGCCGCCACAGCATGGCCTGACAAACGGTGCATTGGTGTATGCCCAGGATCCAAACCTGGGTCGCCAGCAGCAGAGCACGTGCACTTAGCCACTACGCCGCCACCGGGTTGGCCTCTGACAACCATTCTTAATAAGACTTAAAAGCATGGTTTTCCTTTCCTGCAATATCCCTAGTGTGCACCGATAATACCAGGAAGTTCTTCGCCCGCCCCATCACCGCACCCTGACTGGGACTGGGTTTGTGAGGTCCTGTGGGAAGGGGCGAGAGAAGTGGGCCCTAAGAGGCCTTAGATTAAGCCGCATGCACCGGGCGAGCTGGCCGGACCCGCCAAAGGGCAGCAGAGAGCTGGGCGGCCGCAGAACTGGAGGCAGGCGTCTGGGAGGCGCAGGCAGAGAGAGCGAGGCGGAGACAGCGGCTCCGAACGCAGCGGTCAGCATCGCGCTTCCAGCTTGCTTTACGGCTGTCGAAAGATTGCTTTGCGGCTCCTCTCCCCTTCCGACTTGAATTACCGCTCCCCCCTCCTGTTCTTCTCGCCCCACCCCCGGCTCCCTCTCGATTTGGACCTTCTTCCCAGGGTTCTCTTGTGCTTCTTTCCCAGTTTCCTCTGCGCGGCTGTGCCTAAACTCCATTCCCCTCGCATTTAGTCTAAGGGAGCTGCGTGCGTTCGCCGCGCGCTGCCCGAGGCGCGTAAGTGGGAAGGGAAAGCGGCCCCGCTGGGGTGGTCGGCGCTGGGGTTGTGGAGCGCGGGGCGGCTCGGATCCTGAGTCGGGCGCCGGGGGCGGCGGTTGAGCTCGCCTGCGGTGCCCCCAGAGTGGCCGTGAGACTGGAGGCCTGTGCTGACTAGTCCAGTGGGGGTTCAGGAGCAGGGCTTAACTGCGAGTGGGATTGGGAGGGGCGGGGTGCAGGGGACTTGCGCCGCCACACGGGGCGCACGCACCAGGACCCGCGACGGGGTGAGAGCGGCGTACCGTTGCTTGGGGCGGTTCCCTGCGCGGGCGCCAGACCTTTGCTTGCTGCTTGTTGACAGGCGTGGAGAGCGCTGAAGTTTGTGTCGGTAGCTGATCGGAGTTGGAAGAAGTGGCTGCGGTTGGGCAGGAATTACCCATTTAAAAGGAATTTGACACTCAATTTAGACGCGTATTCAGCCTTTCTAGATGTTTTCAAAAAAGTGGAGATACAGTTCATATACTATTAAATTCATACTTTTAAAAAAAATTTTCTCTTCTTTTTACTTTTTGTGAGGAAGATCAGCCCTGAGCTAACAACTGATGCCAATCCTCCTTTTTTTTTGGCTGAGGAAGCTTGGCCCTGAGCTAACATCCTGCCCATCATCCTCTACTTTATATGCGACACTGCTGCCACAACATGGTCTGACAAGCGGTGCCTCAGTGCGCACCGGGGATCTGAACCTGCGAACCCCAGGCCACCAGAGCAGAGCTCGCCCACTTAAGCGTTTGTGTGGTGGGGCCGGCCCCTAATTCATACTTTTAAAGTGAACAATTAGTGGTTTTTAGTATATTCACAAGGTTGTGCAACCATCACCATTGTCTAATTCCAGAACATTTTTGTCACCCCAAAAAGAAACCCCCAACTCATTAGCAGATACTTCTCGTTTCCCCCTAACCCCAGTCCCACTAATCTACTTTTTGTCTCTATGAATTTGCCACTTCTAGAAATTTCATATAAGTGGAATCATACAGTATTTGTCCTTTTGTGTCTGGCTTATTTCACTTAGCATAATGTTTTCAAGGTTCATCCATGTTGTAGCATGTGTCAGTACTTCACTCCTTTTTATAGCTGAATATTAATATTCCATTGTTGGGATATACCACATTGTGTTTCTCCGTTAATTGATGGGCATTTGGGTTGTTTCCCCTTTTTGACTTCCTAGACCCTTTTAAGGTGTCTACTCAGATGAATTGGATTACATCAAAATTTGAAACTTCTCATCAAAGACAACTCTAAGAAAATGAATAGGCAAGCACTGACACCTATCTGACAAAGGACTGATATCCAAGGTATGTAAAGAACCATTGGGTTCAAGGCCTGGGACTAATCCTCTGTGGCCTGCCCTACCCTCTGCACCTGTGGCTTCATCTTCAAGTCATTCTTCTTTTTTCATGAAGAGTAGCATGTGTTTACAGCTGGGTAGTTTTATCAGCCCATTTCCTGCCAACAGTGTATGAGAGTTCTAGTTGCTTCACATCCTTGCTAACTTTTGGTGTTGTCAGTCTTTATTTTTAGCCATTCCGCTGGATGTAAAGTGGTATGTTATTAGGTTTTAATTTTAGTCCTTGATTACTCATGATGTTGAGCACTTTTTCCTGTGCTTATTGATATTTTTGTATCTTCCTTTGTGAAGTGCCTGATCAAATCTTTTGCCCATTTTAAATTGGATTATTTGTCTTTTTATTATTGAGTTGTAGGGGTTCTTTATATATCCTTTTTATATTATGGATATCAGTCGTTTGTGGTTGCCTATTCATTTTCTTAGAGCTGTTTTTGATAAGCAAAGTTTTACATTTTGATGTTGTCATAGTTATCATTTTTTTCTGTTATAGTTATTGCTTTCAGAGTCCTGTCTAAGAAATCTTGGCCACCTCCAGTTTGTGAAAATATACTTCTGTATTTTCTTCTAGAAATTTTATAGTTTTAGCTTTTATGTTTAGGCCTGTGATCCAGCTCTAGTTTTTGTGAATGGTGTGAAAATTATTTTGTGAAAAATATTAAATTTTTTTCCCACATGGATATCCAGTTGTTCCATCATCATTTGTTGAGCGTGCCATTGTATTGCATTGATAACTTTATTGAAATTCAGATGTCTGTATAAATGGCAGTTGATTTCTGGACTCTCTCTTCTGTTCCACTGATCAATCCTTATGTCAGTAACACACTGTTTTAAATATTATAGCTTTATAGTAAGTCTTGGAGTCACATAGTGTAGGCCAACAACTTTGTGGTTATTTTTTAAATTTGATTTGGATAGTTTAGATCGTTTGCATTTTCCATATAAATATTAGAATCATCTTACCAGTTTCTACCAAAAAGTCTGGTAGGATTATGATTGGGATGGATTAACATCTTAATAGTATCCAGTCTTCAAATATATGAACATGTACATCTCCCTTTTTATTTAAATCTTCTTTAATTTCTTTTAGTACTGTTTTGCAGTTTTCAGTGCAGGGGTCTTACACATCTTTTGCTAAATTTACTCCTCAGTATGTTTTTTTAAGTCTGGAAGATGGAGCCGTCATTTGCGTTGTTACTCTGTATGTAACATGCCATTTTTCTCTGACTGCTTTCAAGATTTTCTCTTTATTTTGGGTTTTTAGCAGTTTGCCTATGGTGTGTCTAGGTGTGATTTTCTACGTATATCTCCTGCTTTGAGGTTTGCTGAGCTTCTTAAATCTGTAAATTATGCCTGTCACCCAATTTGTGAAATTTTGAGCCATTATTTTTTTAAATATTTTTTTCCCATTCTCTAACCCCTTCTTTTGGAACTTTAATTATATGTGTGTTAGCCATTTTGATATTATCCCACAGGACCCTGAGGCTCTTTCATTATTTTCAATCTTTTTTTTTTTCTCTTCTTTAAATTGTATAATTTCTGTTGAATATCTTAAGTTCACAGACTTTTTTTTATCTCTAATTTTGCGTTTTGTGAACAGAATTGACAGTTGGGATGATTTACAAGATTCTTTGTTCAAGAGTAGGTCCTATTTTGTAAGTGTAGTGAGTATGGTTTCTTAGAAGGCTTTTTAGGAGAGATGGTTGTCTGTCCCTTGACTTTTAAATTTTCTCTTATTTTATAGGATCCTAAATTTCCCCTCTTTTGCCCTTTACAGAACAGTTTCAGAGGGCATCTGTCATTCTTTATCACCCTCTTCTCCCCGGAAACATTGACTTTCCAAGACTCCTTCATTGAGTTCTGCATACACGTGTCTCTTTCTTTTTCCTACGCTGCTCTGATCTACCAGAACTCTTTGTCGGTATCTTCATACTTAGTGTGCGGTTTCTCTTTCCAGGAGTGATTTTGGTTCTACCTTAGGCTCTCCATCCTCCTCTTCTCTCTTCTATGCATTTCCCTTCCCATCTGGGTCTCACCTTGCTCTCCTTAAAGAGTTGGAATGAGAGTTTGAGAAATAATCTCCAGCAGAAATTGATATTTATTTTTCCAACTTCCAGGCAATTTGAAGCTTGTAGTATTTTCAGTCTTCTAATTATGTTAGAAGATATGAGATATTTGTGGTTTTATTTGTTCCTCTTGTTGGTCTGTATAGTTTTTGGAGGATGTGTTGGGATATTTGGATTTATGTACCTGCCATAACCTTGGCTATCAGGAAATCTTTCCTAACATTTTATTTTGAAAAATTTGAAGCCTTCAGAAAAGTTATATGATGAACGTCTGCACATCCTTCGCCTAGATTTATGAATTTGTTATTTTGCTTTATTTCTTTCTCTCCCTCTCTTTACACACACACTTTATTGGTTGAATGATTTGAGGAAGTTGCAGAAAACATGACAGTTTACTCTAATACTTCATCGTATGTCTCCTATTAAGATCATTTTCCTGTATAACCATAATATGATTATCACACTCAGTAAGTTTAACGACAATACAATACCATCATCTAATATGCTCTCCATCGTCAGATTTCCTCACTGTCCCAAGAATGTCCTTTATTCCTTTATTTTTCTGATCTAAAATCCTATCAGGGATCACCCAGTGCATTTTAGTTGTCATGTCTTTTTAGTTTTCTTTAACCTAGAAGAGTTCACTAGCCTTTTTGTTTTGCTTTGTTTTGTTTGAGATATTTACATTTTTGAAGGATCCAGGCCTTGTAGATTTGAACTTGTCTGATTATTTCCTCATGATTAGAGTTATGCTTAGATTGGTGGAAATGCTACCTAAGTGGTGTTGTGACCTTCTCTATACATCCATCAGGAAGCACTTGATGTGACTATTATTGGTGACATTAAGTCTGATTACCTGATTAAGGTGGTTATCTGCCAGATTTCTCCACTGTAAAGGTATCTTTTGCCCCCCCTCCCTTTTTCCTCCAAGTGCAAGTGGTTTGTTTGGGAGATGACCCCAGGACATACTGGTAGAGGAGAGGGGAAATGAGAAGGGAAAGACAAGGCAGTCAACAAAGGGTGCATTGTCCAGCTGGTTACCACTGGTGGGCAAGCAAACCTAATTTCACTGGGGAACTCTGGAGCCAATGCAGAGCTCACAGCTCAGTGTTATCTCACAGAGGGGTAAGAAATCTGGATCTTTAAACACCAACTCCCGCCAGTTAGTGTTTGAGGGCTGCTCCAGGGGCATGTGTTCTCTGGCACTTCCAGCTTAAATGGGCCCTGAATGCCAAAGAAAGCCCTCAGGTAAGGAGTTGCACATGTTGGCATTTGGGAATTAGGCCAGGGTGCACTATTGTGGTAAGAACTGAAGGAATAATTAGCAGAGCATCAATAGTGCCTGCTGTACCTGGGTACCCCAGAACCTAGAGCTTGAGGCAAAAGCTTATGTGCTATTTTTTTTTAGGAAGTGCAATTCCAGGAAGCAGAAGTGAGGGAAAAGGGGATTGAGGACAGATGGATGACTAAGTCAGTTCCAGGGTACATTTTCTATCTGGCCACCCCTTGGCAACAAGTACAACTTAATTGCTTGATCTCCTAAAGCTGTCTCC